AAAGAGTGTATCTTTGCTACTGTGGAGAACAGTGCTATTCTGACAATTCCCATCCTTCGGTGTAGTACTAACTCATCAGCTTCCTAGAAGAACACATGATACACTGAGCCACCAGGTGTCAAGATGCTCATAGATATGGCAGTTTCACTCAACTGAGAATTACTGAAAGACAAACATTTTTCATCATTAAAAACACAATTATTATTTTTTTTTGCACTGTGACAGTTTAAGAAGTGCACTGCTAACAGAAGTAACTTAAGTTTGTGGCATATCTTAAACAAAAATGGTTATGTGTATAAAAGACTCACAACTGGAAACACAAGAGGCCTCTTGAATTTGAAGGAGTACTCTCCAGGACCAGCATTTTAATGCAGGAAAATGCATACCGGGTTCAATTTGAATTAAATGCATTTAGCAGCACAGACTCTTTCAGCATCAATTTCCCCCCAAAAGGGGCATGTGGATCCTGACAATGCTGCTGGGTGTAAAAGCACAGTGACTGTGCTTCTACTGGATGGAAACATGAAACCCTGATTAAGTAACACCACCTCTTCCTCTTTAAAATAAATAAACAACAAAATGAGGCTGGGGCATCATGCACAAAGGGAAACAGGCAAAAAAACCCATACAGCATTGGTGTCAATGAAGTGAATAAATTAAGCATTAGGTAGGATCATCTACTTTTATGGATAAAAAATAATGTTCTTCACACTGACATAACATTAAAACCTGCAACTTTCTAAATGCATTATAAACTCTACCTTTTCCCAGAAAATACATACCTGTTAATAAAGCAGTTTATTCCATGCTTAAGAATACGCTCCACCTTCTCCTTCATTTTTTCTTTTTCTGCCTGTTCTATTTCTGCTACCTTTGCTGTGGAGTCCACTCTGACGCGAGAGCCAAAAATCTGAATCAAAGACAACAAACAGTTCAGTCTAAAAGGGAATTCCATTTACAAAAACATTGTCTCGCAAGAATAGTTCTGTCACCTACCTTAATCTTGTCTGTATCCATACCAGTATTTGCAATAAGAATCTTTGCATTTTCAATTCTTTTTGGCTGATTTACACCAATCTTCTTGTCAAGTAAAAAGCCTGTAGGAACAGAAAAGTCTTGTAAAACTTCAGATTAAAAAAGAACAATTAATTTACATTATTACAAAGTACCTTTATTATTCAATTTAATAACAATATAGCAATGTTTCCTAGAAAAAAAAAGTCTGACTTTTAACAGCTTCACTTCTCAAATGCACTTACTGCCAACATACAGAGACTTACCTTCATCTAAGTAGGAATCAGCCAAGCTTCCCCCAAGTTTCTTAATGACGTGGATAGACTCCAAATTACCAGAACCTTTCAATCTCAGAACAGCTTCCACAGCAAGCTTGACAAAGTGATCTTTATGATGAGTAAGTAATTTTGATGAAAGAGTCGTTCCTGCAATGTTCATCAAATCTTCACGGAACTTCACTTCATCACCACTAAAATAAAGTCAGTACAGTTAAAGTACACAGACTGAAAGCCTGAACTACTGTTAACCTATCACTGTGAGTCTCTCCCTGTTTCTTCTGGCCTGTATCTGTAAGTACTGTGTTCCATTTTGGGGAATGTTACACAGAATCCCTCCAGTGTCCCAGACTAAAACTTTGAAATACCAGTTCAATTAGGAGAACCTCTGCATTCAGCTTGAGAAAACCAGTGCTCTCAAAGTAAATAAAATAGCCACGCTTCAAATCAGAGTATAAAATCTGAAATAACAGCTTAAATTTTTCTTCCAGGGAGAACATAATTGCTCATATTTTGTTTCTGCACATTCTTAGTAATTTTAAATATTTTTGTAACACTTCTGTAGTTCATAAAAAAGCAGTCTTTGTATTCAACTGTTAAAATTCATAAATTCAGCCTTTAGACTACTTGGAAGAGAGCAAAAAAATTTCCAATGGCATATAATTCTCACTGTTTCAATCTTGATTGGTTCATGAAGAGTTACAGCAAATGTACATTACTAACCTATGATCCACAGCTGCTTTCAGAAGTGCCTCTCTTGAAGCTTTTGTGGCTGCTCTCCAGCCTGCAATGATGGTCTGGGGATGAATCTTCCTTGAAATCAGTAATTCTGCCTCCTATTCAAATGAAACGAATTATTAGTTTTTCTTCCCCAAGGTACATTTATTCTAACTAGGAAAGGCACTTCCAAGTAATCAGAAAATTCTGAATGGCAGTAAAAAACAGAAAGCTGTAAATAATGAAAGTCAACCTACTAAGAGTTGTTTTTTTTCCAATCTAGGCAAATATGATCTGCCTTTGGAATATTGTAATGAAATTTTTATTAATTAAAAAAAAACCCAACTAACTTTAATACGAATAGCAACCAGACATACACTTCAAAATAACAATCTTTCACTTCATGTTTGAGATCAGTTTCCTGTTCACTTACAGCTGCAACTTAAAGTGTAGTTGCAAAAACAAACAAAACATCTCTAAATCCCTTTCTGAGAGGAAGTTGGCAAGCTGATGCTTCTCAGATGCTCTTGATCACAGTTATTGAATTTGAGATGACCTGGACTTACTGGCACAGCTCTAATGGCAGGTCCTCACTTCTGAAGTCTCTTTCATAGTACATAGTACTTTCAGATCTAAGAGTTCAGCAGTGTAAACTCTGTGTGCAGAGTTTCAAGGAACAGCACGAATTTAGGTCTTGTGCACAAAAGCACAGAATTTAACAAGCCTTGTGTTTTTTCTCATTGATGTCACAAAAAGGGTTTCAGAGGACTGAACCTCACAACTAAGGAGTGATGCGTGCTACCCAGTGCAACACCCAGGAAGAGACCAGTGACCTGTGTGATTCTTCTCTGTTTAACTTGCATTATGAAATAAAGTAATTTTCTAAAATGTACCAAATTAAAATACTTGTGAATTTATAAATAATAATAAAACAAATATAGCTTAAAATTAAAAAAAATATTGATGCCACAACATGTAAGGGGATTTTTTCTCTATAAATTTAAACATAAACTGACTAAGGTACCTCTACACTTTGAAAGCACTCTTCATAAACAAGTAACACATCCCCCATTGGTATCACAGTAGCACACAGCCAAATAAAACCACATCTAAAACACTGTAATACATCACCCTTAGTAATTCAGCTGCCAAAACTGTGACAGATGTAGTTCCATCACCAACTTCATCATCTTGAACCTTTGACATATCTAAAGAAAGAAGCCACTGCATTAGCATTTTGATTCAAAATACCAAGCTCACCAGTACCAACTTTACACACAAATATTTGTATCTTACAACAGCTTAGAGAAGAAAAAGAAATCTTAACTCCTCAATGTTTTAAAGAGGTTACTCTTTAAGTCACACAAAAACCCAAGATGCAAATTAAATTCAGCATCTTTCAAATTCACACCCTTTGTTTGCAATCTAGTTCGAGTGTGGCAACAGTCAAGAGCTACTCCTTTCTCTTCCCATTCCTAAAGATGGTGATTAAAAAGTAGGACTAGACAGAAGCTCTAAGCTACACACACAGGATCACAGAATATAATAACCAAGCATGCCCCATGAGCTTTTGATGAACAAGGACCCAGCAAACACAAAATCACTAACAGACTCGACAACAAATTGTTTACGGTCCTGCTTGTCACTAGAACTGCACATTTGTACACTAAGACGCTTGATCACAGATGTAAACTTTGTCCTGAGTACCATCCTGATTAAGTGATAAAAGGAGATTTAAATCAGGGACAACCAGAGAGACATCTGTAGCCCAGCAGATTTCTGTTGCATATTTCCCGATGAAAAAAGAAGGGCACATAGCTGTCTTTTGTTCCTTTTAATTCCTGGGACAAACCAGGGCTGAGGGAAAATGAGGAAACACCAGCACAGTTTTATAAGAGCAGCATATACCTCCATTTTACTTTTGCTAGAGGCCTACAACTCCTGAAACAACTTGGCCTCCTTACTTCAGGAATTTGGCTCTCCCTCCCTTTTATTTTTCACATTAGAATCATGAAATATCTTGGGTTGGAAGGGACCTCTAAAGGTCATCTAGTCCAACCCCCTTACAATAAAAGCAGAGCCATCTCATTATTTTAACACTACTTTCTAAAAACAAATAAAAAGTACCTAATAAAGTTACAAATTAAGAAATACCAAGTATTCCAACAACAAGCTGTTAGAAACTCACCAACCAAGACCTTGGCAGCTGGGTTGTCAACTCCAATAGCCTTCAGGATGGTTGCACCATCATTGGTCACTGTTACCGTGCTATCTCTCCCAGTACTTAAAAGAATCTTGTCCTACAAGATTGAAAACACCGCTTGAAGACACACTGTAACTATTAAAACTAAAGCTAATTAAAAGTGAACTAACAGGTTTTGGGAAACTGTTATTTTCTTCCCCACATAAGTCTAAACATTGAGGGTAGCCCCCCAGTATCGGCTCACGACACAGGTACAAGCACTGAGACCTTGCAGCTAACTCACCATGCCTTTAGGCCCCAGGGTGCTCTTGACCAGGTCACCGATAGCAATGGCACCAACAAAGGATGACTGAAATGAAAGCAAATGTACCTTAGGAAAGGTTTTTATTTTAGTACAAGAAATAGATGCTAGCCCCTAACTTCTATGGGGACCTTTACACATGCACACTCCTTTCAGCAGAGTCTGGGTCCAAGCTTCTTAACTACTACATTTTGATAAGCCCATCAAATATACTCCTCCTAGAAACCACAAAAGTCTTACTCACAGGCAAAATAAATGCCTTCCAGTGAACACCCGTCTTCTGAGTTGAGGCACTCATTTTAAATACGAGGAGTTTCTCTAACTGTTAGCATTAACAACACTCCCCCTACCTGCTGTTCACAGACATGCAACAAGAAAAACCAACAAAAAAGATGAAGTACCACCATAAACTGAGAGCACATTTAACAGGCATTACCAGCTTTTTCAAGAATTAAACTTACCAATCGAGCTGTTTCAGCCTTTTCTTCATCTGCACCTGCCTTGAAAATGTTCACGGGAGCAAGAGAAATGGATGCCTACAACAAAGCATATTCCCTTAGCTTTAAAAAACAAGGCATTTAAAAAATAAATTCCTGATGCTAACAACCTAAACAGTATTTTTATTATTAAAATTACTTCTATATCCCACTGGGTTTTGATAAAAAGCATATTGAAGATAAATTCACCTTGATTCTTTTTTAAAAATCTGTCTTGCAGCCTCTTCATCATGGGAAAACATTACCAGATGGATTGCACTGTACTCCAAGAGACTGTAAACCACGTTCTCTGACAAGATCTATGAGCCTGAAAGGCTGTTACCAGCAACTTGAGCTCATGGCAAGGTCTGTGCTGCTTGTCTGGGTGGCCTAACCATGATACCCAAAAACCCAGACACAGGAGCGACCAGCAGAACCTAAAAAATCCAGTTACTCAGCAGGCTGGGGCTTTAATACCTTTATGTTTGTGTTGAACCCCATTTTTTTTAATTTGTTTGCATTTTCATGCAAATTAATTATATCCATAACGAACACATGCTATTAAAGACCAGTACTCGCGAGGCACTCGGGGGCTTCAGCAAACTGGGACCAAGCCCAAACCGAAGGGACGCCCCAGCCCTTCCCCTCTGCCATTTTGCACTTCGCCGTGCGATCAGCACACGGATTTTCTACCAGTTTCGCGCCCGCTCCGCCCCTGCTCCGACACGACAAACCGGCCGGGCAGGAGGGCGTGCGGGGGCCGCCAGAG